AATCAAAAACTTCTCGCAACCAAAAACCGGCCGACTTTGGTAAAGACCAGCCGGCTTTCGTAAATATTTGACCTGGAGTATTTCTCGCAGCTGAAAGCCGCCCGACTTTGGCGAAAGCCGCCCGGCTTTCGTTGGGCCTGGGGATTCCTGCGCTGCTGAAACCCGGCCGGGTTTCGTAGAAACCGGCCGGCTTCGAAACCCATTCCCCGAATAAAACTACGGCGACGAAAACCGGCCGACTTTCGTGAAAGCTCCCGGCTTTCGTGATTCATGTACAAGGACTTGTTCTCGCAGACGAAACCCGGCCGGCTTTCGTGAAAAGCGGTCGGCTTTCACCTAGATTGGTCCTAAAACGGTCCTAAAGGTTAGAAACCGGGAAATTTCGGAAGGGTACCGAACGGACTCCACCCGAAACACAACCAACATACTCTACCACTCAAGAAACGAGCCTATTAATTAGATAGTGTGTCTTACATTACTTATAAATGTAGGAACACTAAAGATAAACGGGAGAGACGCAAGGATCCTTATTGATACCGGGGCGCAACGATCATTTGTGAGTGAGGCGTTCGCCAGCGGATTCAACGGACCACTTGTACCGATGACTCAAACCCTATTGGTATCCACGCCTCTAGGGGATGATATCGAAAGAGATAGCCACTATCCATCGTGTGAGGTGGAGGTGGAGGGACAGAACTTGACGTGTGACTTCGTACCGCTGAGCATGATCGAGTTCGACGCGATCCTTGGGATGGATTGGCTAGAGAAGCATCATGCTAGGGTTGATTGTTATACGAAGGTTCTTGAACTCGAAAGCGGTGAAGGTTTGACCTTACGTTTCGAGGGAGATAGAGCCAAATCAAACAGTTGTATCATATCCGCCGTGAGAGCGAGGAATATGATGAGAAAGGGATGCCACACATATCTAGCTTACATGGTGGATAAAACCAAAGAAGAGGTAGACATCAACGATGTGAGAGTTTTGTGCAAGTATCCGGATGTCTTCCCAAAAGACTTGCCGGGGCTTCCACCCGATAGGGAGATTGAGTTCGTGATCGAGGTTGAACCCGACACCAAACCAATCTCTATACCGCCATACAGAATGGCACCCACTGAACTTAACGAGTTGAAAACCCAATTGCAAGAGCTATTGGATAACGGTTTCATAAGGCCGAGTCACGCTCCGTGGGGAGCACCGGTCCTTTTCGTGAAAAAGAAAGATGGAACACTTCGAATGTGCATTGACTATCGTCAACTGAACAAGGTCACAATCAAGAATAGGTATCCCTTGCCTAGGATTGATGACTTGTTTGATCAGCTCCGAGGAGCGACAGTGTTTTCGAAGATTGACTTGAGGTCGGGGTACCACCAACTGAAAATAAAGGAGGATGACATACCGAAGACTGCATTCCGCACAAGGTATGGTCATTTCGAGTTCCTAGTTATGTCGTTCGGGCTAACCAACGCCCCGACGGCATTTATGGACTTGATGAACCGGGTATTTCATAAATACTTGGACCGGTTTGTGATTGTGTTCATAGATGATATCTTGATTTACTCGAAGAGTGAAGAAGAGCATGAGGAGCACTTGATACTTGTTCTTGAGACACTACGGGAGAAGCAACTCTATGCCAAGTTTTCCAAATGTGAATTTTGGCTAAGGGAGATTGGCTTTCTCGGGCATGTGGTTTCGGGATCAGGGATTGCCGTAGATAACAAGAAGATTGAGGTCATTACTGAATGGGAGAGGCCAAAGAACGTCAAGGAAATTCGTAGCTTCCTTGGATTGGCAGGGTACTACCGAAAATTCGTGGAGAAGTTCTCAGTTTTGGCATCGCCATTGACAAAGCTCACTCGAAAGGGGGCCAAGTTTGTATGGGATGACCGATGTGAGAAGGGATTCCTTGAACTGAAGAAGAGATTGACCGAGGCACCGGTACTCGCACTACCCAAACAGGGTGTGGGGTACGATGTCTACAGCGACGCAAGCATCCAAGGGCTTGGATGTGTCTTGATGCAGAATGGGAGGGTGATTGCCTATGCTTCACGACAGTTGAAGAAGCATGAGGTAAATTATCCCACTCATGACTTAGAGCTGGGGGCAGTGGTGTTCGCATTGAAGATTTGGAGGCATTATCTCTACGGGGAAACATGTCATATATACACCGACCACAAAAGCCTGAAGTACGTGTTTACTCAGAAAGAGTTAAACATGAGACAGAGACGGTGGATGGAGATGATAAAAGACTACCATCTAGTTATTGAGTACCACCCCGGTAAAGCCAACGTGGTAGCGGATGCCTTGAGCCGAAAGAATTCATCTGGGGAATTATTGACTAGCTTGAAGGCATTGAGAGCCCAATTGGAGGTATCTAGCGATGGTGCCTTGTTACCTAGATTCGAGGTGAGACCTACATTACTTGATGAAATCAAGAAGGGTCAAGAAACCGACGAAGAACTTATGAAGATCCGTGAACGCGTGCTAGCGGGACCGGTTGAGGATTTCAGGGAGAGAGACGATGGTCTCTTATTATTTCGTGACCGAGTGTGTGTACCGTTGGATGATGAGCTCCGAAAGTCCATCTTAGAGGAGGCTCATTCATCGGCGTATTCCATGCACCCAGGAGGCACGAAGATGTACCGTGATTTGAAGGAAAGTTACTGGTGGTCGGGTATGAAGAGGGGAATAGCCGAGTACATTAGTAGGTGTCTTACTTGCCAGCAAGTTAAGGCAGAACATCAGCATCCGACTGGGTTACTACAACCACTTTCCATTCCTGAATGGAAGTGGGAGCACGTGACTATGGATTTCGTGGTGGGGCTGCCACGGACGATTAAGAACTATGATTCCGTATGGGTTGTGGTCGATAGGCTCACAAAGAGTGCACACTTTCTACCTATCAACACCACCTATGCACTGGAGAGGTTAGCCAAGTTGTATGTGGATGAGATCGTGAGGCTACATGGGGTTCCTATAACCATTGTATCCGATAGAGATCCGCGATTCACATCACGATTTTGGCCGAAATTCCAAGAATCTATGGGGACAAAGTTGAAATTCAGTACAACGTTTCATCCACAAACGGATGGGCAATCGGAGCGGGTTATACAGATATTGGAGGATATGCTGAGAGCCTGTGCATTGGAGTTCCTAGGGAGTTGGGACAACCATTTGCCACTTGTGGAGTTTGCATATAACAACAGTTATCAGGCGAGTATAGGCATGCCTCCATACGAGGCATTGTATGGGAGGAGATGTCGTACACCGTTGTGTTGGGATGAGGTTGGCATGGCCAAACTCGAGAGCACGGAATTGGTGGTGATCACCAAGTCTAAGGTGAAGATGATTCGTGAGAGACTTAAGGCGGCCCAGGATAGACAGAAAAGTTATGCCAATAAGCGTCGAAGAGCCTTGGAGTTTAAGGTGGGAGATGAAGTATTTTTGAAGGTTTCACCTTGGAAGGGAATCATCCGATTTCAGAGCCGAGGGAAACTTAACCCACGATACATATGGCCATTCGTGGTTCTTGAGAGGATTGGGGCCGTAGCATACCGATTACAGTTGACTCCAGAATTGGAGAAGATACATAACGTATTCCACGTGTCTATGCTTAAGAAGTATATGCCGGATCCATCTCATGTATTAGAAAAACCACCCGTGGAAATACGGGAAGACTTGAATTATGCCGTGCAACCGGTGAGAATACTTGACAGGCAAGTCAAGAAATTGAGAAGCAAGAAGGTTCCAATGGTTAAAGTCCTTCGGAAAAGTGACCGAGTCGAGGAGGAAACTTGGGAAACGGAAGCTTTGATGAAAGAGCAATACGCGTTTTTGTTTGAATGAGCGTTGTGAATTTCGGGGACGAAATTCCCGTTAAGGGGGGGTGAACTTGTAACACCGACCCCGACATATTTACTTTTAGTAAATTATGTAATAAACCTTGAAAGATGATTTATGAATTTGCGTAATTGTAAATTTTTTGTTATTTCTTTTACGTGAATAGTAAATTGCATGTGGGGCCCACAGGGGGAACGGGGACCGCCCGAAAATTCCCGAACCACATATTATATTCATCTTGGTCTAGATGACGTCTATATGGTGGTGGATATTTTATTTGGGTCATAAGAAGGGCATGGAGTTGACCGGTTGGTCAAACGGGGCCCAAATACCGGTATTGGCAATTTAACGGATAACAGCCTGAAATGAGTTTCAGAGGCTCCTAAATTAATGTTGGGGAATGTACATCGTTTCTAAAGGCCCATAATTATTAGGAACACGTGATATATTTTATCCGGCCCGATAAAATAAAATATGACTAAAGTAGTCCGAAAAAATACAACTTTCGGGGCCGATTATACATACCGGGACATAATGGGATGACCTCCCACATAAGTGGGGGCCACCCCACGTTTTTATGGGTGCTGATTGACTGAGTAATAGGGGAAGGGGAGCAAAACAATGTGCTGGTACGCACAAGTGAGGAGAGGAAGCCTCCTAAGGACAAGAAATACCCCCCATGTCCTCTCAATGCATGTGCATTGGTTTTGATTGAAAATCAGATGCCATCCTCCAAGTACTTGCATTCATTCGGACCTCACAATGAGAGGATAAGCTTCAGGAAGTCTCTCACAAAGGTTGGAGCTTGAGGCCAGCAAGAAGAAAGGAAATCCAAAGAGAAAAAGCTAGGCATTGAGGTAAGAACACCAATAGTTCTTTTAACTAGTTTTTTGGTGTATGATTTGTGAGAAATCATATGGTGGATTAAACATGATGTTCTACACGTTTAAAAGTGTAGAATATTGATATAAAGTGGTGATATTTAACTTAGAAGAGTTGGTAAATCGATAGGAGTCGAAATCGCCGGAAAACGCCACCTTAAGGGAGCTGCCCGTTTCTGCAGAACACGAAAGCCGCCCGGCTTTCGTGAAAGCCGCCCGGCTTTTGCCCAGCAGTTCAGTTTTACACCTTCAATCGGCCTAGAACGGGGATTGATCGAGGGGCTTAGCAAAGGCAAATATTTCAGCACTTCATAAGGTGAGGATGGCTGACTATATTGCTTATAATTAGTGAGTTAATTTCATGAGATTACCGAAGGTAATTAAATGTGTTTTTATGGATTATTAATGATTAATAATGCCTCAAATGAAAAGACTAAATGTCTAAAGGAAAAGGAGCATGATATACAAATTTAAGAGTAAATTGTGTATGTTCATGTGTTATGAGTATGTTGACTTGAAAGTGGAATTTATTATGAAACATATGTTGAAATATACTTTTTCTTCATATTAGAATATATGAATGATTAAAGGTGATATTTTGAGTATTGAGTTAAATGATATTTTCAAAGGAAAATCAGTTGGAATTGTCTATATGACTATGAGTTGTGAACTTGTTTGTTGATATTAATTTGACCAGTATTAAGATACTAGTTGGACATTAAAATGAAATGTTGTTAAGATTGATCCTAAGGTTGGATTGTGAAATGTTATGCCTTAAGTAGTCTTAAGAGATGCTTTAAGGTAGGAAAGTATGAACTTTAAGTTATACTAGGGGTAGGCCTTAAGGGATACCCAAGATAATGTAAATATTAAATTGATCCTATGTATAGGATTGGCCTACGGGTGTGTTCGGTAGTCCTTGTGGATAGCCGGTTGAATTATGGAATTAGTAAAGACCATGGCCCTTCCCGACTCTAGAGAGCGGGGTTGGATAGCATGGACTTACATCGTGATCACGGGTTAGGGTGGAATCCGAATCGGAGACCTAACTAGGTTCCGGTAGCGGTAACACATAAGATAGGACCCCGAAGAGCCTTACCTTCCTACGGGATGATGGGTATGAGTCCAGGGGCGGGATGTTGGAGTCCGAACCGGGAGCCTCACGAGGTCTCGGACAGCGATAGCAAGTCCCGTAGAAATAATAGGACCCAAGGGTTGGGTTGTGCAAATGATAAATAAAAAGGGATATATAAGAAGGGCCGTGTGACGACGAATAAATAAATTTACTTATTATAAGGATAATAAGTGGGAAATATAAATTATTATTTATATTATGATATCACCCTATTTTGAGGGTCTTGGAAATTAAAACGTTGATTATACTTAGTATAGTTGCTATTGTACTTGTCAAATATTTCCAAGTACTGACCTCCCCTTCACGGGGGAGGCCACCTCACAGTTTCAGGTAGGACTTGAAGGTCGCTACCGGTGCCCGTTGCTCGGGATATTCATAGGAGAAGACGTGATTCGTGCTTCTTCTGTTTTCTGATTTCAAAACAATTATAATAATGCTCATGGATATTATTTTGAATAACTATTTGGGGGCTTGCATGCCTATGTTTGCCAAAGTGTGGCTAAGACACTTTTATTAAATGCTTCCGCTGTTTTAAATGAATGTTTTACATTATGTTTGTTTATGGATGTACTATGTGTGAATGATATTCATGACGCCTTGTATAGTATGGATGAGTTGGACTGCGGTTGACTATTCGTACTGTATGGCGGGTTGTTGACGTGTCCGGCTAGGTCCGGGGCGTGACATGCTGATGCCCAAATGATCCAAGGTCTTCGTGGGGAGAATTCGGCCTTAGCTAACCAAGTCTCGGATCTGAAAACCCATGTCAAATCATTGGAAGCATATGGGAGAAAAAAGAAGCAAGAAGTCACTGATGCGGCTTGTTTTTATGCTTGCAAAACAAGGGGCGAGTTAATGGCATCCTATAGTGCGGGTGATATGTTGGGTTGGTCAGCGGAGCAAGATGTGGCCACTTGGTTAAAGCTGCAGGAAGAGATGGATCCCCCGGTAGGTGAAGATGGTTTTGACGTGGGTCACTCCGATGATGAAGCTAAATCAAAATGTTCCAAAGGATCTTGAACTCATTTCCCGCTTTTGAACCTCCTGATAACATTTCTTCTTCATCGCACTTTTCTTGACTTTAGCCATTCCATGCTTTCTGAAATTACTCTGATTTGACTTATACTATGGTTTCCTGGTGGTTTATCCGAGACTTGATGCTTTTGAGAATCTTTTGTCATTTCTGCTGTCACGCTTTTGTTTTCATGTGTTCTTTCATGTCTGCTCATGTGTTACACCATACTTGCATGTATCTTATCATATGTGCTTGCATGAGTATTTTGTCATATATGTATGTGTTTTGTCATATATGTATGTGTTTTGGCCAAAACGTATCAGGCTTTACGAGTTCTCATTCATAGTTTTTTATGATGAGCCCCATGTGCCCCGAATATTGACGTATTGTCTCAATTAAGTATAAACGCAGTACCCATAGTTCCGGCGTTTGCGTTGTTTCATCCTCAGATTTCAAAACGTCATGTTCCTGCAATGTCACCACGCCTAAAAGGTCGGCCGTTGGCTTGAGGCCAACGGCCCTCCGATGATCAAGTTAGTAAATGTTGAATTATACTTATTGTATTGGAGAAAATATGAAACATTAATAAAATACATGTGACCTTGTCCTCGGAGGTGATGGAGAACTTGAAGCGTGGAAGGGTTTGTAGGAGGAACGATGAGATTAATCGTTTGTTAGATCTGTCTGAAGCGAGCAACATTTCCTATTCCGTTGTTCGGAGAGAAGCTAATTGAACAGCCCATTTTTTAGCCAGGTCAGATGTGGGCCGGTCCATTACTTATTATAGGGTGGCGGATCTCCCTAATCTGGCCCGCAATGCTTACTGCTCGGACTTATTTGGGCTACCTTCTTTAAGATATGACCGCTAGTTTCTTGGGGTTCGATCTTTTATTTTTGCTGTTGTTTTATATGGTGTATTTTTTGTTATGCATCTGTTTGATTTTTATCTAGAGAAGTTTGGTTTGGCCCCCTTCTCTGATTGTTTGCTTCACTCTATTTTATTAATAATATTTTGGCAGTTGACCCCCCGACATCTGTCCCACTGATTTTGGTGGTTTGCCTTCTGGGGTAAAAAAAAACAAACAAAAAAAACCCTGTGACCTTGTCATTTTCTCGTGCGTTCCTGCACCAAAGACATAGTTTGGGCTGGTCGTTGGCCTTAAGCCAACGGCCCTCCGGTGTTTAAGTTAGTAAAGTTGTTTCTTTTTGATAAAAATAAAATGCGAGAACAAAAAGTAAATTAAAAATGGAAAGGCTTTAGGTGTACCGCATTCCAACTTCGAGGGACTTCTTTACCGTCAACTGATTCTAAGCGATATGCCCCCTGTCCAACAACGTCAATGATCTTGTAGGGTCCTTCCAGATTGGGGCTAAACTTACCGGCCGCTTCGTTGCCGAATGTTCTCCTTACGACTCAGTCGCCCTTTTTGAACACTTTGGCCCCAACGTTTTTGTTGTAGCTCTTTGCCACCATCTGCTGGTAGGTCTGTAAGCGGATCTTGGCTCGTTCACGGATTTCGTCAATGGTATCCAGGTCATGCGTCAATTCCACGTTGTTTAGTTCTTCGGTCATGAGCCCGTATCTTGAAGACGGTATTTCAATTTCAGCAGGTATTACCGCTTCGTAGCCCGCTTAAATTTAAGCGGGTCTTCCCGGTTGCATTTTTTGGAGTCGTCCTATCCGCCCATAGTATCAGTGGCAACTCGTCAGCCCATCTGTCTTGCGCCTTTTCGAGTCTTTTCTTCAGGTTGGCAATAATGATCTTATTGCTGGATTCAGTCTGTCCATTGGATTGTGGGCACCTGGGGGTTGACGTTTCCAACTTGATATTGTACCTATCACAGAACCGTCTGGTCTTTGCACTTATGAACTGAGATACGTTGTCACAGACAATTTCTGACGGAATGCCAAACCTGCAGAGTGTCCATGTGAGTCCGACGATCAACGCTTCGTACTCCGCTTCATTTTGATAGAGAGTCGCATTTTACCTCCAAGATTTTGATGCCTAAATCCCTTGCCAATGTGAGTCCGACGATCAACGCTTCGTACTCCGCTTCATTGTTTGTAGCAATGAAATCACAATGTACATCTTGGAGCATGGTGTCCCCATGTGGTGACTTCAGTACGACGCCCAGACCCGCACCATTCTGGTTTGACGCCCCGTCAATATGTAGTGTCCATCTTTGTTTAGGCAAAGCATCAGTTAAGATGGACGTTTCTTTCTCCGCCTCAGTTTGGAGCTTCGGGCTGAAGTCTGCCACAAAGTCTGCGAGTGATTGGGATTTCAGAGCCGTTATTGGTTCAAACCTTATGTCGTAAGCTCCTAGTTGAATCGACCATTTAGCAATGCGACCTGTCAACTCTGGTTTTCTCATGATTGACTTCATGGGATAATTAGTTCGGACACAAATGGTATGAGATTCAAAATAAGGGCGTAGTTTAATTGAGGCAATAACTAAAGCTAAAACCAATTTTTCGAGTAAGGCGTACCTGGATTCGGGACCATTTAAGGATTTACTTACATAATAGACCGGAGTTTGTTGTTCCTGTTCCTCCTTTGTCAATACTGCACTGACGGCGTGTTCTGAAACGGCTAGATACAGCTGCAACTCGTCATCATCTTTGGGTTTGGCAAGTAACGGCGGGGACATCATATATTGTTTTAATTGCTTGAGTGTCTGCTCGTGCTGATCTGTCCATTCGAATTTCTTGTTCTTTCGCAAAACGTTGTAGAACAAATGGCACTTGTCTGATGACTTCGAAATGAAGCGATTCAGAGCTGCGACTAGGGCTGAGCAAACCCCGAACCGACCCGCAAAACCTGAAGTTTTTTGCGGATAATATCCGATCCGAAAAGCCGAAAGCCAAAAATCCGATTAGTATTGGGCCTAGACCGGGTGGCGGGTAGGGTTTGTAAAATCCCAACTCGACCCGCCCGAATATCCGAAATATATTTAATTATGTAGTGTGTACTTTTAATATGTTTAATTAATACTTGTGTTCAATTATTTGTGTAATTATTTGTGCAATTTGTGTTAAATTATTTGTGTAATTTGAATGTGTATTGCACTAGTGTGTACAATTTTTGTCAAAGTGGCATTCCAACACTTTAATTATCCAATTATATAGTTATTTAATATAATCAAAATATCCAAAATATATTAAATTATGTAGTGTGTACTTTGAATATGTTAAATTAATACTTGTGTTCAATTATTTGTGTAAATTGTGTTAAATTATTTGTGTCATTTAAATGTATAATGTACTAATGTGTATAACTTTTGTCAAAGTGACATTTCAACACTTTAATTATCCAATTATAATGTGTTTTAATATAACCGAAATATCCGAAACCTGATCCGATATCCGATAATATCCGACTTAAAAATATCCGAAATATCCGATTTAAAATATCAAAGGGTCAGGCCTAGTATTTAAATTAAAAAAACCGAATGGGTTAAGGGTCCACAGACCCAACCCGCCCGAACCCGACCCGTGCTCAACCCTAGCAGCGACTCATCCTGTCAATCTCTGGATATCTTTGACGGATTTGGGCGACTCAATGTCAAGAATTTCTCGTATTTGTTTTGGGCTCGCCTCTATTCCTCGTTCGCTGACAATGTAGCCCAAGAATTCTCCTGATGACACTCCGAAGGTACACTTAGCCGGGTTGAGTTTTAGGTTATATTCCCGCAACTTGCTGAATGCATCCGTCAAGTGACTGACCTGATCTTCTTTCTGCTTTGACTTGACGATAAGGCCCGCTAAGCCAGCTTGCTGTTTGGGATTTTGAGCGTCGCCTTGGCGTTGCACTGCTGCCATGGCCCGGCGCACCCCATCAATATTAGTTCAATTTTGAAAGAATTTCTGCCCGCCAGGATGGGATGACTTCCAGTCGATATAGACTTCCATGGTCTTTCCCAACTAGTCTTTGAACATCATTGTAACCAGCCTCTGGAACGTTGCACCTGCATTTTTTAGTCCAAAAGGCATGACAATATAATAATATGTACCTGTCTGAGTTATGAAGGCGGTCTTCTCCTGATCGTCCGGGTGTAATTGAATTTGGTTATAACTGCTGAAAGCGTCCATGAAGGATAGCATCTCATTCCCGTCAGTTGCATCAGCCAGTACGTCGATATGCGGCATAGGAAATGAATCTTTTGGACATGTTTTTTTTAAGTCAGTGAAGTCGACGCAAACCCGCCATTTGGCTGGTCTTCCCCTCTTCTTTCCTTTCCTTTTTTGCACGACGATGACGTTGGCTAACCAGTCAAGGTATTTGGCCTCCTGTACCTTGCTGGTTCGGAGCAGTGTTTCAACCTCCTTATTTACTATGACGTTCCGTTCTCTGGCAAACCGTCTCCTCTTCTGTCTGAAGGGTTTGAACGATGGGATGACATTTAACCTATAGTCCGGATGGGCTCCCCGTTGAATCCGACAAGGGTCGAACCGGAATCCGTCACGTCTTCCTCCTTAATTCCCATTTCCTTGAGCATTTTCATGGTAGTAATATTTGCGGTGCTCCCATTGTCCACCAAGACTCGCTTGACCTCACAGTTTGCTACTCGTAGGGAGATGACCAACGTGTCATGATGGGGTTGTGTATGGTCGGGAATATCCGTTTCGTCAAAGGTAATTGACGCATTCCGCCAGTCTTCTTGTCGTTTCATAACTCTGCACACCTGCAATGACTTGTCTCGGGAATAATCCTGAGCGTGTCTCTTTGCTGCAGAATATGTTAGCCCGCAAAAATCAGATCCGCCATTAATAAAGTTAATTACCTTACAGGGGGCTGAAGGCGAAGGTGGGCGCGGTTCCATTGGCGACGCTTTGACGTTCCGTCCCAGCAGCGACTTGGTATGTTCAGACATGATTTCTGTCAGATACCCATTCCTCAGCAAATATGCCACCTCCGTTCGTAGTGCGATGCAATCTTCAGTGTTGTGCCCGATGTCGTTGTGGAAATCGCAACGCTTGTTTGGGTCACGACGACCCGCTGGTTTGTCAATCTTCTTGGACCATCGAACTCTTTCTCCCAGCTTCTCCAAGGAATGAATGTGCTCCGGAGTGGTAACACTAAAGCAATAGTCGTCGATGACGGGTGGCACGTCTGGATCGTAGAGCCAACTTGCTGA